CATCCCCCGGGGGGCAGGTGCGTCCCCCGTCCCCCAGGGGGGCAGGTCCGTCCCCCATCCCCCAGGGGGGCAGGTGCGTCCCCCAGGGGGGCAGGTGCGTCCCCTGTCCCCCAGGGGGGCAGGTCCGTCCCCCATCCCCCAGGGGGGCAGGTGCATCCCCCAGGGGGGCAGGTTCGTCCCCCATCCCCCAGGGGGGGCAGGTGCGTCCCCCAGGGGGGCAGGTCCGTCCCCCGTCCCCCAGGGGGGCAGGTGCGTCCCCCAGGGGGGCAGGTCCGTCGGAGGAACTAGCTGCACTGAGTGCACACACCAGGCGTCCGGAAGCGCGAGGCCGAGCGTGCCTGACAGTTCTCCCAGAGACGGCAGCAGGGTCTGTATTTCCCTGGGTGGATGAAACATCCCTGCAGCTACATTGTCGGCCATAAAGCAATTCTCAATCAATTTTAAAAGAACTGCTTATCCAAATCATCTCCAACCACAAGTAATTAAAAAGCAGTACCAAAATATCTGGAAAATTCTAAGTATTTGAAAGTAAAGACGTTATACTTTTCGGTGACCCATGGACTAAAGAAGAGATCATAATGGGAAGTATTTGAGCCAGGTACGGTCAGAATTTGGCTGAAACTCTGCGGGCCGCAGCTGGCGGTTCGGGGGGCCCGAGCAGGGAGCGCCTGTGTGAGCTAAGCAAGCAGGAGCTGCAGTGACATCGCGTTGCTTTGCCGAGCCAAAGAAAGGTAAATTAAGCCTCGTGCGTGACAGCGCGGAAAAGCGGCACAGCAAAGTCAGTCAAACAAGCTTATTTCTTGCGAACACCAGGAAAATTGGGAAGTGTCCGGTCAAATTGATAAGGGTGAAGAAAGATATGTAGCACCCTCAGAATCAGAGTGCATCACTGATGGAGGCGTCACAGGGAAATGAACGTACACCCAGCAGGTAAAGTGGACCAGTTCCTTAAAGACAGATTACTGGATCTCATTTCATGTGAATAAGAACAGTCCTAACTGTGAAAGAAACGGAATTTAAATTTGAAACCTCGTGAAGACAACTCCAAATCCAGATGACACCGCTGGTCACACTAGCAAACACTTAAGGAAGAGCTAATGCCACCGACGTGCAGAACTTTCCAGAAAATAAAGCGCACTTCCAAGATCATATTAGGAAGCCAGCATCACTCCGAAACCCAGACTCAGAATGCGTCATCAGAACAGAAAGCCGCACACTGTCTCTCGCGAGCGTAGACGCAAATTCCTCAACAGTCTGCAAACTGAATCCGAGTTTTACTAATCTCATGACAGTGACCTTGGTCTGATGTTAGAAAATACAGCAGCGTCATCCACCTCTGCATATCACAGAGAAACACTGACCTGGTCAACAGGTGTGGGACAGGCCCCTGACAACTCTCAATGTGCAGACACAGCAGGAACTCAGCGAGCGGGGCCGGGAGCAGCTGCGGAGATGCCCAGCCGGCACCGGCACTGATGAGAAAGGCCGGACGCTGCTGCCTGCGATCGAGCTGAGCCAAGGACGTTGGTAGCACCGTCCTTAGTTAACGTCCTGGTGGAAGTTCTGACTACTGAGAAAACTCAAGAAAAAGAAAACAGAAGCCGCACACGCGGGAAGGTGCGCCGGGACTACCCGAGGATGACGCGGCGAGCACGCGGCCGCCGGCGGGAAGGGGCTCGGCTGCGTCCCCAAACGGGGCGGACATGCAGACCACCGGGTGCAGACCGGCGTTTGGGCCACGGCGCTCGGCTCGTGGCTTCCGGGCGGCCGTGTCAGAAACTGGAGCGGCCACCCTGACCGTAAACAAAAACGAAGACGCACGACTTGAAAAGCCAACGAGGCTTCCTCGGTACGTGAGCGAAGTGAGGTCACGGGAAAACCGTGGCCCCCAAAGAGCGACCAGCAGCGAGGCAGAGGCGCCGTGCCCGGAGCCGAGCCCAGAAAGCACAGACCACGCGCTCCGAGCGGAGGCCCCCGCCGGGCCAGCGCTGGGGTCAGAACTGCACCGCCGGTGACAAGCTGTGGGAGACTCGGCCCGGCCAGTCTTGGAGATGAAAGCGGGTCAGCTCCCGGGGGACCTGTCGCGAGGGCTCCCGCAGTTTACGACTTTCACGGGGGCGTGCGCCACGGCTGACAGGACATTCCCGTGGGCCCCGGGAGGACGGGGGAGGAGCCCCCGGGGAATGACCTCTGCTGTCCAGAAGCCGCCGTCAGAGTAGCCGCTTGACCAGATCCTGGGTGTTTCCAGAAACCTGCTTGGCCGGGGGAAGGTCAGTGCCCACCGCCCACCGGCTGCCCCTTCCGAGCGGACGACGGGGAACACGCCGGTTCCCTCTGCAACGCCAGCAGCACCGCCGTCCTGCCTGCAGGGAGTGCGCCGGGCCGTGGCGGCGCGTGGGGAGCGCGGCGTGGACTGACAAGCAGGATTCAACACAAGGAGCGTTTTCTGCTTGCTGAAAGGCAGGCACACCGCAGGAAGTGGACGCGGAGGGCCTCTCGACCAAAGACTGCTCTCCAGACCGGCCCGGGACAGCCAGACCGTGGGGGGGGTCATCCGTGCACTGCCTGCAGCCCACAGCACTGAGTAGAAGCAGCCTGGGACCCGCGGGCGCGTTTTCTGGGAGCTCCTGTGTGCAAAGTTCAGCGCGGACCGACGTGGACAGTCGCGTTTGCTGTTTTCGGACCCGTGGCGGCATAGTCCGAGAGGGCCGAGCGTGAAGCTGGCGGCTGCAGCTTGCGCACGGCCTGTGATCACGCCCGTGAGAGCTGCAGGTGCCACGCAAGTGGGCCGTTTGCGAAGCCCCCTGGCAGCTGGCGCGGTGGCTCGCGCCTCGCCTGAAGTCCGGTGTGTTGATGAGCGCATTTTTCATGATTCTGCCTGCATGGAGTTTAATGTACGGAAGCGCACAGTCTGTGATAATGCGCTTAAGGTTCAGTTCTACAAGGAAGTGCCCGTCCTGTGCACACATGCAATTAAAATTCCGTCTCAGAAACGGTGCTCCGTGTAGTGACGGGTCGGAAGGCTGTGGGCACGCGGGCGTGGCGGCCTGTGCCTGCGTGGACTCTGGGCTCCTGCACAGATGAGGGCATGTCGATGCATGTCTGTGCGGAATCCTGGTTACACGAATGACCGCACAGGGTGATCGCGGGCGACGCGCCCGACCCGGCCCGGGACCGTGCGGAGCTGGCAGGGCTCGGGGCGCGGTGGGAGAAGGGAGTGTCTCCTGACTGCAGCGGGCACTGTGCTGTCTGCAGCCCCGGGTTCTCTGTAACATTTTCCCCCAACAAATGTTATCCAAAGACGCCGTTGCAGTTGTTCAACCTAGTGAGCACCGCCATAACCTCCTGTGCCTTTTCAATGCTCCACCTTCACTTCCCAAGAACATGCACCGCAGAAGACAAAACGGGCCGTAAAACAAAACAATGGGCCAGAGGCGTGTGGTCCCATGTTTTGGGAGCCGTTAAGTTTTCTCTTTTTTTTGCTCAGAAAGCCCATTTTGAAACATGTTCACTGAACCTGTAAACCAAAAAATAAAAACTGACCTGAAAACACCAAATGGTATTGGCTTTATGTTGATATTCTGTCCCCAAAGACCAAAGCCCAGTGACTGGACAAACGACGTCTTTTGCAGGCCCGCAGGGAGGGCGGGGGCGGCCGGGCCCGGGGTGGTGAGCGCGGGCTCTGGAGCTGCTTCTCGCGGTGCTCAGCTTGTGGAAACCCGCGGGGCTCGTGTGCCGCGTGCGTCTGAACACACGCTCGCACGTACACACGGCAAAGCCTCGGCTTACTCTTACGGAAGTAAAACCAAGGCGTCTGAGAGCCCTCGTGAGAGCCTGGCAGACGACGGGAAATTCAAACTAGAAATTGTTCTTTAAAAGGGAGAAGAGAAAGGCGGAGCGTGGACGACGCAGAAAGAGGACGGCCGGCCTGGCCCCCAGCCTGGCACGCGCCTGGCGCCCGCGTGGGCCTCGCTCAAGGTCAGTCTCTGCTGGTGCTTCCAGGAGCCGGGAGGCCTGGCCGGCGGCGCGGGGGCGGCCCCTCGGGCGCCCCCCTTACCTCTGAATGGTCCAGGAGGTGGTGATGTGGATGGCGCTGGCGTTGGCCAGCTCCTTGATCATGGCTGCTCTGTTGGCGGGGCTGATCCCCCACAGCAGGCTGGCGTGGCTTTTGATCTTGATGAGAACGATGTCCTCGGGCCTGTAGTCGGCGAGGAACTGCATGGCGGACTGGGGCAGGGAGGGGCCGCGTCAGAGGCCGGCGGCCGCCACGGCCTCCCGCTGGCGTGCTGCCTCTCGCGGGCCCGCAGCCGTGGCTGCGTGGAGTCTGAGTCTGGAGGGAGCTCGGGGAAGCGGGTGTGCGAGGGGGCCCGGAGCCCCGCGGGGCGTGGGGGCACTCACAGGATGGAGGGCGTACCGCTGGGTCAGCTGGTCATAGTCGGCGTCCGAGAAGGGGGCCAAGTTCTGATCCTGGGAGCTCATGGTGAACAGGGTCTGGAAGAGAGGAGGCCGGCCAGGGCTCGCGATGGCCGCGGAGGGCCCGGGTCACGGAGCGGCCTGCAAGGAGCTCTGTTCCCTTTGGGGGGGACGTGAGCGCACCAACTGGAGTGAGGGGCAGCGGGACGGTGATGGGAGGGGTGTCGGGGAAGGAGCAGCAAGCTCAGAGGCTCCGTGGCTGATCTCGGCTCTGAGTCCACGTCTGGGCGCAGATTTCCAGCCCCTGCCAGCCCCTGCCAGCCCCGAGAATCCAGC